ACATGCGTTCATTATTGATCACATGCATTTATAGCGCTGCACTTGACTTTAACATAGAATAGTTACGTGATTAAAGAGAATGAAGATATATCATTATATTGGGAAATTAGAACTATCCAAATTATTTGAGATATAAGTGTGAAAATGTTTAACATTTGAAAATAGAATGTATGACATTCATTAGTAAATGCATTAGTTGTCTGATCATTTTGGAGAAACAGCAAAAAAAAAAAAAAATAATATAGGTGTACTAATTATGTTACATTCTAAGTATTCTCTTTTGCTAACAGGAAAACGCCAACGGGACAAAGCCCGAGCTTGTGCGCCATCTAGCGAACATATCCGGTATTGCACCTAAAAATGTGCCAGACGCGATTCCACATTTACTAATAGCAAAGTAGACGTTCGTCAATGAGATTGCTAGACGCCGCTCAGAAGACTGACAGGTCTTGATTGATTTAACTGAGTCTGCCTGAATGTTCAGAGTCTGCTGGTAGACTCAAGTCTTAGTAAATCAGGGCCCTAGTGTTTTGGAACCGTAGAGAAAAAAAAAAAAAATCAAGTGGGAATAGTGAACATTGGAAATGATTCTGAAATGTAAAAAAAAGCATTAGCAGACAATGGAGAGGGGAGACTGGTTTGCCTTTGGCAGATCAACCTTTTGCAAAGGCTGAAGCTTTTCGGTGACTGCAGCACCACAGCATTTAGAATTTACATAAGAGCACTGTGACTTCGGAAAATGTAATTCCCGTTATTTTTTTTTTTTAATTTCAATGTATCAAAAATATGCAGCTCTCATAAACAAGGTTCTATAACAACCTCTAGCTTTAACTGTACACTGTAACATTACATGGACTGCAGCCCCTCAGAGGACAGTGTGGACTGCTTCAACAGGTTCTCTTGAACAGACTCAAGATCGCCTGTGTGGTGATTAACCTTCTGCAAACGGGTACCACCGATTATGACAGCAAGGGGCCTCTGTGACATTGTCTATCTCCAGCATTTTGTTAAACATCTTCAAGTCTGCTTGCACACAGCATATTTGCATTGTTGGATGGCCTAGTCGATCTTTTCCACCCTGCCGATAATTTTCTCTTCGTAGATAGACAGAATAGTGTCCTTGTCTCTCACCTCTTCAAAAACCAATCCGCAATCAAACACGTCACTTACTTTCTTAAAGCAATACCTGTAATTTCCTTTCTTCGGAAGCAGCTCCTTGAATTGTCCCAGGGTCACTACACGGCCCTTCATCATGGTCCTGTAGGGAATAGGCTCTCCACAGAAGTAGTACGCCACCACAATGTTGTCGCAGGGCTGAGAGGATCCACTTCCTCCTTTCGTTTGAGGTTTTAACCTTTGCTTCACTTGAATTTTCCCTGCTTTTCTTTCCTCCCCTTCCAGCCTCCTGTGTGCTTCCTCCAGCTGTGTCAGTGGATTGGGGGCAGGATTGGGTAGCATGATGGGATCTTGCATGAAAGGGTGAGCGGGCTGAACGATGTTATGTAGTTGGGCAGTGACCCACGGGTGTGCACGGCACCTGGCCGCTCGATGGAAAGTGGTTTAGGCACATCATATGCCAGGTACTTCTTGGCACCTGACGAACTATGGACAGATTTTTTATGTCTGCTTATCTCCTTCCATTATCTATTGCATGATTTTCTGGTTTCTCTCTCCATTCTCTGGCACAACTGGCATTTCATAGCTGTCACTTTCAAGCTTCCCGGAAACCACTTTCTCAGCGTTCCTTTTGGCAAGCATACTTACTTTTCCGCTATAGCCCAGAGAATCCATAGGATTAGGGGCCATTCCCATGTTCTCTGCATAATTTCAAGACTTGGTTGCATAGTTATGTGGGTCTACATTCCATGGGAAGTTGCTCTGCACTCTTTGTGTGGCCTCAGCCTCAATTTGTTCTTTAGGTTTCACACCACTATGGTGGTGAACATGGTGATAAACATGCTTGTGGCGGTAAAGGTTGGATGCCTCAAGTGTTCAGTTGCTCTTGCCCGAATGCTTTCCGTGAACAGACTGCATTGTTCCCATGGAAACAGGAAGGCCTTTGCCCAAATGGCCATCTGGAGAGTGTGGTTTCTGGGAATGACACCCAGGGCCCGGAGACTGGCAGCCTGGGGTTTTAATGACGCGCTGCACATGTTCATCAAGGATGGACTCTGGGTTTTCTTTGTGGGCGTCTCTGATTGGCATCCCGACACAACCCATGTCGGCATAGTGTGAACCAAAATGATGCATGGGCTGGCTTGAAGGCAACTTGTGGCTAACCATGGAAGGCGCAGATGAGACATCGGCATCATCACCTTCTTCTTCTGCTCTCGCTCATTTTAGCCGCTCCTCCAACTTCTGTTCCACTTCACGGTCTCTCAGAACTCCCTCCAAGCGACTTATTAGCTCAGCAGCAAATTTTTCAGGATCAACATGAACATCCTTTGGCATGTGATATGTACGTGGAATGTTAGGTAGTGGCACACATCCGTTTGCTTTGCAACTTTCTTGCATTTCCCTGCGATGGTGCTTTCGTAATCTATATGGTGGAACTCCATCTACACTGCTGTCTGTCAGGGACATGGTATCTGTGTCACTCGACATACTCTGTTGCTCGCTGTCGTTAGCACTGGTGGCTGACGCCACCGCATACCCAGTGTTGACAAAGTAAGGGTTAACTGGCTCTCTCCATGCTCCCGGCCTAAACTCTCTTCCATCACTCAGATGTCTAGGTGGTGCTGGACAATGCGATACAGCTTCTAAAATAAGTTTCTGATTAATTTTGTTAGAAGAAACAGAATCTCTTTCAGTTATTATCCACCAATTGGTCACACTTCCATTCCTCATCTTTGTTAAGAGTTGGCAAATATCCAGCTGGACCCTTCCCTGTCCCAGCACCTGAACTATGGTCACTGTAGATTATAGGACTTTCCCCGCCTATTGTAGTATATTCTAAATAGATATCTGATTTCAGGAATACAGGGCAAGTATTGTCCTCCATGATGGACTTGATTTCCATTTGGGCCTGGTCAAACATGTCAGGTTCAATCTGCTACCTTAGCACACAATCTTTAACCACTTGCCTACAGGGCACTTATACCCCCTTCCTGCCCAGGCCAATTTCCAGCTTTCAGCACTGTCACACTTTGAATGACAATTGCGCGGTCATGCAACACTGTACCCATATGAAATTTTTTATAATTTTTTTGAGACAGATCTTTCTTTTGGTGGTATTTAATCACCTCTGGGATTTTTATTTTTTCTTAAACAAACCAAAACCACTGAAAATGTTGAAAAAAAACATTTCTTAGTTTTTGTTGTACAATTTTGTAAACAATTGATTTTTCTACTTCACTGATGTGCGCTAATGAGGCTGCAGTGATGGGCACTGATAGGTGGTACTGATGAGGAGACACTGGTAGGTTGCACTGATGGGCATTGACAGGCATCACTGATGGGCACTGAAAGGCAGCACTGATACATGACACTGATAGGCAGCACTCACTGGCACTGTTAGGCAGCACTGATGTGCACTGATAGGCGACACTGACAGCGTGACAGCTCGAGAGGAGAGAAATGCCGATAACCGGCATTTCCGTGTTTACATGTGATCAGCTGTGATTGGACACAGCTGATCACATGACCGAGCCGACATCTTCGGCTCTTTCCGTGATCCACTGTGTCCGAGGGACACAGTGCACCGGCGATTGCCGCGCTGCTCGCTCCCTGAGCCGTGCATGCGCGGTGAGAATGGAAGGATGTCATATGACGCCCTATCAGAACGAGAGAACCACCTTGCGCCCGTCATTGTACTATATGGCGGGCGGAAGGTGGTTAATAAAACTTTTTGTTGCTGGTTTGATCTGCCAGGAAACAATCCCATTATTGTCTAGAATGTATTTTTTATAAATTGCTTTAGCCAGTTTGAGCCTTTTTTTCCCCACCTTGGAGTGACTGGGCTCCAGCTTTCGAAAACCACTGCACGCAAACCAATCGAGCAAATCCCCACAATTCTCTTGTTGCAAAAAAGTTCTGAACAAGTTAACCCCATCCTGGTCATCCAACAAAGAATGCAAAGATTCAGCCCATTTTAAATATGGTGGAGTCGCTGCCTTCGGGTTTGTAACCCAAGTCGAGGTCAGAATATCTCGGCGTTGCTGTTGAAGTCTCGTTTAGTCTATATATACACAGTTGTGTTCAAAATAATAGCAGTGTGTTGAAAAATGTGAATAAAGCTCAAAATCCTTCTAATAGCTTTTATTTCCATACACACAAATGCATTGGGAACACTACACATTCTATTCCAAATCAAAACATGAAGAAAAATATATCAAATTTGTGTTATTCCTCTAAAAAAAACAAAATTGAAGAAAAGTGAATATTAGACTGTTCAAAAAAATAGCAGTGTTTGTATTCTTCTTTACAAGCTCAAACATTCACTATATAAACTGAAAAATGTTTGAAGATTTAGCTTTCCTTTGAATTACTTAATATTTAGTTGTATAAGCACTGTTTGAGAACTGCTGCACATCTGTGTTGCATGGAGTCAACCAACTTCTGGCACCTGTGAACAAGTATTCCAGCCCAGGATGATTGGACTACATTCCACAGTTCTTCTCTATTTCTTGGTTTTGCCTCAGAAACTGCATTTTTGATGTCACCCCACAAGTTTTCTATTGGATTAAGATCCGGGGATTGGGCTGGCCACTCCATAACGTCAATATTGTTGGTCTGGAACCAAGGGGAGAAAACATATAAGGGAAGAGGGGAAAACATATAAAGAAGTGCAGAAAATGAGAGGCTGCTCAGCTAAAATGATCACAAATGCTTTAAAATGGCAAGCAAAACCTGAAAGACGTGGAAGAAAGCAAAAAATTACCATTCAAATGGATAGAAGAATAGCCAACAATTAGCTCCAGGAAGATCAAAGAAGGTCTAAAGTTACCTGTGAGTACTGTTACAATTAGAAGACGCCTATTTGAAGCCAAGATATCTGCAAGAAGCCCCCGCAAAGTCCCACTGTTGAAAAAAAAAAGACGTGCTGAAGAGGTTACAATTTGACTGGCCTAAAGAGAAATGGCGCAACATTTTGTGGACTGATGAAAGTAAGATTGTTCTCTTTGGGTCTAGTGGCCGGAGACAGTTTGTCAGACGACCCCCAAACACTGAATTCAAGCCACAGTACAATGTGAAGACAGTGAAGCATGGTTGCGCAAGCATCACGATATGGGGATGTTTCTCATACTACGGTGTTGGGGCCTATTTATCGCATACCAGGGATCACGGATCAGTTTGAATACATCAGAATACTTGAAGAGGTCATGCTGCCTTATGCTGAGGAGGAAATGCCCTTGAAACAACAAGACAACGACCCCAAACACACCAGTAAACATGCAACATCTTGGTTCCAGACCAACTAGATTGACGTTATGGAGTGGCCAGCCCAATCCCCGGATCTTAATCCAATAGAAAATATCAGGGCTCCGGGTATGACCAGAGGTGTGTGGCCTGACACAGGGAAACACAGACTTCAGGTATAGCGTGTAAAACAATATAATTTATTAAGGGCAACACAAACATAAACGCAGTACAACAAACCAAATCCAAAACGAACACAAATACGTACCACAAGGTGCAACAAACCCAAACCTTAACTGATTTTATATATATATATATATATATATATATATATATATATATATAAAAATATGGAGCACAACGTAGTCAGGCGGGCCGGTAGCAAACGGGCAGACAAGGTACAAGGAGTAGGCAGAAGATTGGTCAGGAGTAGCCGAGGTTGGTGCAGGCAGAGTTCAAGCAGAGTCAGGATCAAGCAGAGTCAGGATCAGACAGGAAGCAAACAGGATGCAGGTACAGGGGCTCATGGGAACAATATACCAAGGCCCTGATTGCAGGCCTGGCCATTCCTTAAATACACCTCCTGCAATCAGCCTCAGGTGATGGCTTGATTGCAGGAGTGAGCTTCTGGCTGACGAGAGCACCCGCTGGCCAGCCCTGGTACTGCAGCCCACAAGGCAGGCGAGTCCCACCACCATTGGCGAGTCCATCCCTGACAGGACCCCCCCCTAAAGGGGGGGCTCAGGATGCTCCAAACAGTCCGTAATGGCACATGGGGCTGGGCAGCGGGCACCGGGCCATCGGGCTGGGCAGCAGGCAGAGGCACATCAGGCGAGGCAGCAGGCATCGGGCCATCAGGCGAGGCAGCGGGCCATCAGGCGAGGCAGCGGGCACCAAGTCATCTGGTAGAATAGCGGGCACCGAGTCATCTGGCACGACAGCAGGCACCGGGTCACCAAGCTCGATAGCGGGCACCGGGTCATCTGGCACGACAGCGGGCACCGGGTCATCAGATAGGACAGACAAGACAGCGGGCACCGGGGCGTCAGGCTGGACCGCGGGCACCGGGGCGTCAGGCTGGACCGGGCACCGGGGCGTCAGGCTGGACCGCGGGCACCCGGCTGGATCGGGTCATCCAGCTGGGTAGTGTACACTGGGTCATCAGGCATCCGGGCATCAGGCTGAACAGTGGGTGGGCAACGGGGCACCAGGCTGGATAACAGAAGGCGGGTTCTCAGACAGCAGGCTGACCGGTTTGGATACTGGCAGGATGGTACTGGTTGGAAAGAATTTTCGCTTCTTCTTGGTTTTAGTTACTGGAGCACTGTAAGTAAACGCAGGTCTGTAAACAGAGGGAGCAGCTTCTACAGATGACTTCTTTACAGGGTTAAAGGCAGGATAGGTGCAGCGAATGGGAACAGGGGACTGACATGTGGTAGATAGCAGGGTATACTGGGCTGTCACTGGGGGTGCTATGGGAAATGGAAGAAGAGAGCTTTGAGCAGAGGAATGATTAGAAGTAGGACGGGGTTGTTGCAAGCTGACTGAAGCTGGGTGTAACAAATCTGACCATGACTGCAGTACTGGTTGAACAAAGCTCAGCTTACACAAAGCCTGTCTGACCAAAGACTGCACTGCGTTTATACAATCCACTAGCACCTGTTGTGAACATGCTGAATAATGCTCCAAGAAGTAATCCGCATCATCCTCCAATAATCATACCAGTGACTCTACTTGGTCTGCACTAAATGGCGGTAAAAAGTCATCCCTGCTTTCAGGGGTACTAGATGAAGCCAACTGCGCACAAGCCTGAATCAACGGTTGCACCTGAGAGAACTCCATGCCCTGATCTACTAGGAAATGAGAGTCTGATAGGCATAATCTCTCATCTAAGACTAGCAGAGACAAATACACAACCTCCTCAGGATGCATCCTTCCCAACTACAAGCCAATATTGCTTCCCTGTGCAGCCACTTCTGGTCAGGATTGGCCTTGATGTAATGTCAGGGCTCCGGGTATGACCAGAGGTGTGTGGCCCGACACAGGGAAACACAGACTTCAGGTATAGCGTGTAAAAACAATATAATTTATTATGGGCAACACAAACATAAATGCAGTGCAACAAACCAAACCCAAAACTAACACAAATACGTACCACAAGGTGCAACAAACCCAAACCTTAACTGATATATATATATATAAAAATATATAAATATGGAGCACAACGTAGTCAGGCGGGCCGGTAGCAAACGGGAAGACAAGGTACAAGGAGTAGGCAGAAGATTGGTCAGGAGTAGCCGAGGTCAGGCAGAGTTCAAGCAGAGTCAGGATCAGGCAGGATGCAGGTACAGGGGCTCATGGGAACAATTCATCAAGGCCCTGACTGCAGGCCTGGCCATTCCTTAAATACACCTCCTGCAATCAGCCTCAGGTGATGGCTTGATTGCAGGAGTGAGCTTCTGGCTGACGAGAGCACCCGATGGCCAGCCCTGGTACTGCAGCCACAAGGCAGGTGAGTCCCACGACCATTGGCGAGTCCTTTCCTGACAGAAAACTTGTGGGGTGACATCAAAAATGTAGTTTCTGAGGCAAAATCAAGAAATAGAGAACTGTGGAATGTAGTCCAATCATCCTGGGCTGGAATACCTGTTCACAGGTGCCAGAAGTTGGTTGACTCCATGCAACACAGATGTACAGCAGTTCTCAGAAACAGTGGTTATACAACTAAATATTAAGTGATTCAAAGGAAAGCAAAATCTTCAAACGTTTTTTCAGTTTATATAGTGAATGTTTGAGTTTGTAAAGAAGAATACAAACGCTGCTATTTTTTTGAATAATCTAATATTCACTTTTCTTAAATTTTTTTAGAGGAACAACACAAATTTGATATATTTTTCTTCATGTTTTGATTTGGAATAGAATGTGTAGTGTTCCCAATGCATTTGTGTGTATGGAAATAAAAGCTATTAGAAGGATTTTGAGCTTTATTCACTTTTTTCAACACACTGCTATTATTTTGAACACAACTGTATGTGTGTGTGTGTATATTGTTATGTTTAATTAAATGACATTAAAAATCACATGGCATTCGGCAAATTTGAGTATACTGTCTCTAGAGCTGAACTTCGGGGAAAAGACAGAAATTCCCTTGCAGTGGGATTCCCCTGGTAATGCAACAGTTAAATTTTTATATCCCTAGAATACCCATAACAAGCACTTTTACTTATGTCATTCCTCGCTCCCCCAGCAGCCAGTACTCAATTCTTCTGCCTG